GTGTGTTGGAACTGGACAGGGTGAATCTGGCTGGCTGCAGAGAGACTGATGCTGCAGCTCAAGAGAAAAGTGAGGACATTTCCTTTATTTCAGTCAGTGTTAAGGCTGAAGAAGTCCCTTGGTGGCAAGTGAAGGTCCATCATTGTATCTGAACTACATGGGTTGAACTATTTTGCAATAGATGGAAGGAAGCCTTGTAGAAAGAGGAAGGAATATGTCACTGAGCTGATCTTCAAAGACTTTATTGCTCAATAATTGGTTGTACTCCATGTTATATGGCCAAGAAATGGGAAGAAGGTTTTTCTTTTCTTTAATGGCTAACTTTCCTCTTCCCAAAATACTTCACTTAGCTGGGGAATGTGACTTCAGGAGGGCAATTGAGAAGTGAAGGGGTTTTGACAGTTTAAAGTAACTGTTCAAAAGAAGCAAAGCAAATGGGCAGCACTATTTCCATTTTAAGCATTGTCACAGTAACAAGCATGCAAGCAAATTTCAGAAAGAATGCATGGATGGAAGGTTATTTGGGCAGCAGTAAAAGCACCGGGAGGGAATTAATGGAAATAGAAATGAAGTTAGAAAATGAATTTAGAAACATGCTTTGCCTTAAGGTTAAAATATTCAAAGCATCCTGGGTACTTGGATGTCAAATTTCTGCTCATGTTAATGACTGAAGTTCTACTTCCCTCTTTTGAGCTTCAATTTTTGTGTGTGCTCAAGAACAAGCTGAGCAGTTCGTTTCAAGCAGCAGGGACTCTGCTTTCCCACCTGTGTGAGTCTGGTGGGTCAGCTCCTGTATTCCCTCTCCTCCATCACCTGGGGAAGTGTTTGTAGTGGCACATGTTTCTGGATTTGGGAAGCAGGTGGAACCTGATTAAGGGGGTTAAGTTACAGTTACACAAGCAGTTTAATTACATGGACATTGTGATGGTCAATTAGGAGTCTATTCTATTTAGTAAGCTAATACCACAATAAACACAGGCACTTGAAACTGGGAGAAGATGAGATTTGGCAGTTTGGAAGGACATAGCAACATGAAGGCTGTGGTGGAAGCCTACTGTGATAGAAACTGATTGCCAGTGCTGTATGCCTGCTCACAGAACATTCTTAGTTGTGAACCCATCTCTGAGCCAGAGGAAAGTAGTGAATTCTTCTTGAAAATATTTTGGTGCTTCTCTTTTGGAGAAAACAGGTGTGGTGTGACCTTTTGTTTCTCCCTCACTGTGGTCAAGTGGGAGCATTCTTACTGAACATTGCATCATATTTCTTGCCTTGTTTTCTTGTTGCTAAAGCCCTGTGGAGTTTATTGTTTCCTATGTTCTCCCTGACTGGAAGGGTGAGAATGCTGCAAAAAAACAAACAGAGGAGAGTCTGTGTATTAAAGCTGAAAGCTGAAACAGCAGCTCATGGGGCACCTGAGCCCTTTGCATCTCATGACTGAACCTGCAGAGCTGCTGTGGCACAGTTCACCTGCTAAACCATCCCTGCCATGGCTGATGCACTTTGTGCTGAAAACATGTGTTGTTCTCTTTAGACTCCAGAATAATTGAAGGGGTTTTTTTAAAACTCTAGATTCCTACCAATAATTTTCATTTTTATAATGAACTTGGAGAAAAGTAAATCAATTTCTAAAAATTGTTTTCAGTATTGATTATTTGGAGGCACAATATTATTGTTAACTGCTCTCAAATCTCTTTTTCAGAAGTCCTATTTTACATTGATTACATGTATCCCAATGCTTTGGGATTTCATGAATTGAAGGTTATGCTGTATGATCAACACATTTTGTGTCCTCTGTAATCCTAATGATTCATCAGCTTTAACTCAGAGCCTTTCCTTACCTTCAGTGTCCTTCCAGATGCATGGAACGAGGACAATCTGTGTTGTGTCCCTCTGGCTGCACTGCCCTTCCTTTGGAATCTCGTGCTCAGCCAGTGATGGTGTTGCCAATTTTACTGATTTTTTTTCATCCTCCAGGCACTCAGCAGAGGGAAGGGACAATGGAATGCATGACCCCAGTGTAACACACTGCTGTGGGGTGTTGGCTGCTGGGTGAAATGGCACTTGGGCCAACTCTTCCATGCCCAGAAAAGAACAGAAACTCTTCTCTTTAGCAAATCTGTAGAGTTAAACTTCCCATGCCTCTCTTCTTAATAGTGGAGGTCAGTGCTTGTACTTTTGAGGTGGTTCTGCCTAGAGCTTGGCATGGGGCAAGTGCCTCATCTCACTTTATAAATAGAAATTCAGCATCTTCCCCAGGCTGATCTGTCCAACAGCTGCACCACCATGTGCTCCTCTTACACTGCTCCTTAGGGAGTTTTATTTCACCAAACTTGGCTTGGTGAGGCCTCAGAAACAGTCCAGCAGGTCCCTCTGTGGGATGCCAGCCCACACCCTGGAGCCATTTCTGGATTTTTATTCAAACTCTGATCTAAATGATGCTCTGAGAATTGATGCAGGGTGGGATGATGGTGGGAGGTTTAGACAAGCCAGCACCAGGGTTGCCTTTTCAGGGTGAACCTGCTCTATCTTGAAATCTGGATTACCTTGAAGGGCAGGATCTCCTTGAAAGGCATTCTTTCCTCTGGGAAACCTTGACCTTTCCTCTTTGGATGGGGTCACAATAGGATAATAAGCTAGTTTCTTGGTACAAATATGATCTATTTGATAAAGGTGGTTAAATTTGCTTACAGGGATTACCCTGAATTTCCCTGAGATTTCCCTTCTCTAATCAGGAGTGTGTGAATCCATGTAGACTTGTGACTAATGGACTTCCCCAGAGGGTATTTATTTTATATGCATGTGTTTATGTTAAATAATGTAAATGGTGGAAGAGTAGGGTGTGGGAGAGCAAGAAGACCTCTTTATCAGAAACCTTAAAAAGGCCATGTTTGCATTACTCTCCTGACTCCAGCATAATCCCAGAGATGGAGAGGTTGTATATTTGAAGCAGAGCTGAAGGTGCTTATCTTGGCTGGCATCAGACTCCAGGCTGAGCTGAGCCCTCTGGCAGGAGGAGGACCCCATTGTTACCCCTGATTTTGCCTTCTCAGCTGTGAAACTGTCTGAAATAGAAATTTGTATATACACAAACACTTATGTTTTCAGTCTGTGTATTCCCTTTCTGAAAAATACACACATCCTCTTTCTGAGTGACTGATGCTACACTGGTTCAAGGGTGATTTATATTGCTGGAAGTCAGGCTTTTATTCTGTGTAGTTTGAATTTTTTTACTTCAGTTGCCCTTAAACACGTTCTCGTAGTTTCTGGAGCACTTAGTCCTGGAGCACTTAGCAGTTCTTAACTATTTTTGTAACTTTATACTATTACCTTTTTGCTCTTCTGCCCCCAGTGCCTTCTTAATTGACACAAACTGACATAACCTAAGTTGAAACCTAGTCTGGTTTGGCTGACTCGCTTTGAAATAATACCTGATGTTAAACCAGAGCAAACACGCAATGCCCAAACCCCATGGGTCCTATTCCACCTGTCTCACCTGTGGTTAACTTGCTTCTTGATGGTGTTTTGCAAATTGGTTCTTATTTCTCCCCTTCAAATTACAGTTAAGCAGTTTTATTAGCAGGTTTATTTTCTTTGTTAGCTCCTGTGTACATGACTGTGTGCAATGCTGCAGAGTCCCTCCTGCCACCAGTGTCACTCACTGTCACAGCCAGATGTGCTACAGAGAAGAAAGTGGTATTTGATAAAAACAACATATTCACAAACCAGGCTTTGTTGTAGCTTTAAGTTCTTTTTCTGCTCTATGTCTAAAGGGAATGGGCCTGTCTGGATTTTGTAACTCAGTGATAGCTCTGCAAAATGAGTCACAGGGCCAAATATTTTGTAGAGAACCATCACTTGTGTCAGAATCTTGGGTAGTGGCAGCTCATCATTCTACCTAAACCTAGTGCTGTGTGTTGTTTTTTATTAAACATGGTCAATCTAATTTGTAGATTGTACAAACTTACTCTCTATTTTCCTTGTAAACCCTAATGGAACCTGATGCCAAAAAACTTAGGCTGATATTAAAGACCTTGCTTATTTTATATTGTATGTCTGTCAGATAAAGTATTCAATATTTTACACTTTAAAAATTATATTTTGAGTATTGTAGAAGCAGTAACTTCTGCAGAGCTATGTGGAATGATTGTGGAATTTGAGTGTTGTTGAAGTTATCAAATTTTAAATAATAAGGTGATTATAATTGAAATCTGCAGATAGTAATAAACTGGCTTGGATAATTAATTTGGATTTAGAATTGCTTAATTTCTCTTGGCATTTGCAAATCCCAAAATGACTTGTGGAATGTTCTTGATTTTATTGAAAACATCTGTGATTGTTTTTGAGGGCAACAATATTTGAAGAACAAAGTAATATCTGTATATAAATGGAGGTGGACAAGAAATCTTTCAGAAAACATAGCTTATGTCATTTTGGGAGGCATCGTGTCATCTGTTTCAGAATGAAAAAGGCTACAGAGGAATTGAAGTCTGCTCCGTAAAAAGATTAACTGTTCTAAATAACATTTTAAATTCATAGCACTGACAAAGCTGGGCTTTAAATCTACAATTTTCATATGAAAATCAGAATTATTAATTAGGAGTCCAAATTCATGGAACTTCCTTTAGTTCTTCAGAGTAAAACAAAATATCATGAGTATCTATTTCTTATCCTACGTTTAAGTATGTTTTTATATTAGAAGATGGTATTTAATAGAATTGCCAGTATTTATGGAATGAAACTGATTCAGAAATTAATAATAAAGAATGTTATTGAATTGGGCTCATGTTAAAATACAGATTTCTGTTGATTAAAAACCTGTCTCACTATAAAAGCATCTAACTGGTAATGGAAAATATTAACAATATTTTCTGTATGGTGATACTCCCTTTGTAAATCAATTTTAGTTGTCTCTGTGTTCAATTCTTTTGAAGACTAAACTATTTGAGACTAAACTATTATTTTCTTCTTTTTTTTTTTTTTTTTTTTTTTTTTTTTTTGACAACTTAGAAAAACACACGCAGTGGGGTATTGATGTTCTGGAAAAGTACATCAAGTTTGTAAAAGAAAGAACAGAGATTGAACTCAGCTATGCAAAGCAGCTTAGGTAAGTCGATATGTAAAATTCTGGACTTTGAGTTGCATCTCCTCAGAGCCTGTAATCAACCCTAAATTTGCTGTGTCAGTGGTGATTTTGTTTATAATAATGGCTTTTAGAAAGTATCTTTAATTTAGAGATTGGAAAGTAAAAGTTAATTTAAGATCCTGTTGTATTATATCTGCTAGTAATCATATGTTTTGCAAAAAGAGAGGTTGTTGAAGTGGCTCAGCTGCACACTAAGGCTTACTCACGGTTTATGCATGATTAATGGCTCAGGCTTTGAGGACAGCACTGTAATGTTTTCCATGAGATTGGGGCTGCTGTGCAAAAATGCTGAAGGGTTTAGGAATTCAACAGAATAATGATCATTTGTTAGGCAAAGTTTAGGTTTTCTTTTCCTAAGACAGGCCCTTCTGAAATGGCCAAGGGGAGGAACTGCAGGTCAGAAAGTCAGCCCCAGCCCTTGGTAATTTTTCCTATGTAGTTAAGAAGGTTACAGCCTGAGATTTGAATTACAGTTTTGTAATCTTTTGAGGTGTCTCTGGATCAGAGCAGAGATCGTTGTGAATTAATCTCAAATAATTCCTGCTGGGTACTTTCTACATGTCCATGCCTGGTTTGATTGTACACAGAGATGAGTGTGTGCGAACCAGCTACAGAAAACAAATCTTCCTTGAGGTCAGAAGGGAAGAAGTGCTAAGAACCCTCCCACAGGAGTAGATATCACCTTGCATTTCCCAGTAAGGCAGAAAAAACTGAGAAGTGATGGAGGTTAGAAGGGAGTGAAGCACATGGGGGGTCTGTCCTGCTTCTGCCTGTGGAACAACATTATTGGCAGCCACCAGTGACCAGTGCTAAACTGGAAGGGCTGGAGTTAAATGGGAAGAGGAGAGCAGTGAACTGCTCCAGTGAACTCACCTTTTATTTGGATGGTGATAATAAATCTTGGGAACGCCTTCCATCTTCTCAGATTTTAAAGAGATGGGAACTGAGGTTTCAGTTGATCTGTGTATCTAACACAGTGTCTATTAAAAAAAATCACCCAGAATTTGCTTGTGTTTGAGTGGATTTGAGATGCACAGTGGCCTGTGATTATTGAGGAGCTGATAGTAGATAAATCCCCACCTTGATGATTGTGTGCTGTCCCAGGGGAATGCCAGGAGGGTTCCCCAGGGTTTCTGCTACAGACAAGCAGGAAATAGAAAATGACTCGTGCAGGAACAAATTGCTCACATCCTATGGAGAGGAGCAGAGATTGAATTACAGAGGCAAAATGAGCTGGAACAAAGAGAATGTGACTGGACTGGGAAAGCCCAGCAGAGTATCTGGGTGAGCTGGCCTGTCTTAGGCACAATCCTACACTAGACTCACTGGAGTATTCAGGATGACAAATTCCAGGTATAAAGAGCTTAGTTATTAAAATAAATACACAAAGAACATGTAAACAAAAGTGAAAGACTGTTTTACCTGTGACCGTGTAAAAACTGTGAATTCCTGAGCTTTATTTCTTATTCTGTCCTAGACTTCACAAAAAAAAATATGGTCAGTTTGTTTCTTACCTCTGTATTTTTTATGGTTTGGGGACAAATACGTCTGTCCCCAAGGAGCTCTTAAACACAGGGCTGCTTGCAGGCACCTTAGAAGTATAAAAGAAAGAAACCAAAAATGTAGACTTGTCAAGTGCTGAGGTAAAACAGTGCTAGACATTAAAAAAAGAAAAATAAATCATGCATCTGCTTTTATTAAATAAGTGTCCTTAAGCCTGGTGCAAACCTTTTTTGTACCAGATCCATTTGATGTAAAAGGGCTGCATCACATCACTGCATGTCATAACATGCAGAAAATTCTATTAACTCCTGTGGATGTACCTCTATTTTGTTTATAGTGTAAGTAAAGCTGCTGAAATTTATTTCCTTCTGTGAAACTTGTATTTTCTGTTCCATCCCTGGGCTCCCTAACTAGCTCTTTCTCCTCTCTGACTACCTACATCTCAGCCTGGTCATCTATTGAAGTTAAATTTTCTTCTGTTTAAAAATGTTTATTTTTTTCCTCTTTATGATTCTTCAAATATATAATTTATTGCATCATTAAGGTAGGCTGGGAGGGAAGGGATGTAGAAATGATGGTAGAATGCTTATTTTAAGTATTTTAACTTCCATGGAACACTGATGTGTTGGATGCTGTGCTCCCAGTGCTGAGGTGGTGTGTCCTTGTCTCTTCCCTTGCAACACATGCACTCAGAGCATCACAAAGGGTGTCAAAACCCTTGCCTAATGTGATGATGGATAGATAGCCTCGAGGAAAATCTGTTGGAAGAAATGCTTCAGGTGTCAGGATAATCTGAGAATCAGAACCCCTGATGTCTGACATCTCTTTCTCTCGCATTTGTCACCCAGGTTGAAATAAGGGAGCAGAGAAATAAGCTGGAAAGGCAGAAAAAATGAAGCAGAGTGAAAGGCAAATAGAAACACTCATAGGGGCGAGTGCTCAGGGTGGCATAGAATCTTTTCAGAGCTGGTGTTTTACTGCTGGTCTTTATTATGTGTCAGCTCTCTCTCCAATCACTGTTAGCACTGAAGGTGCCACTGTCACTGCTTCCTGAGCCTGGGCAGTGCTGGTGTGACACTGCACCAGGGCATGATGAACTCCAGCAATAATTCTGGGTTCATTATCACCTGTGGGGGTTTTTGTGTGAACCTGGTTGAACCCCATCATCTGATTTTAGAAAAGGGAAAAAAAAAAAATAGAGTACTTCAACATATAGACTCAGTTTGTGTGTTGTGTAAATTGCATAGAAGATAATGAAGTGTTTAACCCAGATGCTAATCCTTGGTAAGTGGTTTTTGTCTGTGAAAGCAGATTGTGGAGTTTTTTGGGGATTTTTTTTTTGCCTCAGCTCTGTAGCATTTCTGCACCTTTAAAGATTCACAGGAAGCCAGTTGCTGTGTGTGTCAGAATTAATTGGGCAGAGTGACAGTGAAGGGAGATGGAGTTTTGACTGTGTGAAAATGCCTTATTACTGTAGCCTTCTGTGCTTGTTTTCTTGTGGTTTTTCCTTTTCCCTTCCAGCTGGTGCATGAAAGGAGGCATTCCCATGGCATACAAAGGGTGCTGCAAGATTTATTTCCATCATGCAGAACAGTTTGCAGAGTTCTTCCCATGCTGGTGTTTGGTGGAAGCTGCAGAACTAGAGAAGTTCATTTTTTCAGAGCATATTCTTGGAGAGAAGGCACAGACTGAGAGGGAGATACTCATTTGGATCCCTTCCAGTCAAGATACTTAAATTTTGAGGAACACATGTTTGTCTGTGCAAATTTGCCAGCATTCTGGCTACTCCTCTTTTGGGGCAGATGCTCCTTAATTCCTCAAGGAGAACAAAAGGAATAAGAAATGTGAGATGGGGGGCCCTGCTGTCTCCAAGTCAGCAGTAAAATCAGCATCAGCAGGGAATGGGTTACACCTCTGAAAAAGCAGTTTCTTTACAACTTGATGTATTCTGGGACTTCTCCAAAGAGTTTGGCATGGATAAGTTGATAAAACTGAGTCCTCCTTCGGACTACAATTCCATCAATACTCCTTGTGTGCTGTTCTTCATCGCTGAAACAACCTTGTAAAACTGAACCAAATGGCTTCCCTTTCACAATAGGGTGAGAGGCTGCCAGAGGGAACAGAGTAATAGGGCTCAGTTTAGGACAGAGGAGTGCTGGAAAGGCCTCAAAACAGCTCTGTGAGATTGGTCAGCTGTATGGTGTGCTCTGGTTAAAGGGTGTACTGTGCTGCAGTGCCCTGTGCATCCTCATGCTGATACCACAAAGGTGCACTGAGGGGCAGGTGGGCAGCACACCTCCACAAATCCCTGGATTTGCTGCTGATGAGAAGCTTGTGAGGCAATGAAAACCATACAATTACTGTCAGATGTGCTCACAGCAATGTTCAGATTTCTTATTTGAGATACAATCACTCCAAGGGCATATTGGTGTTTTAAAATTAAAACAGTAGTTGGCTGGGGGATAATGAGATGCAATCATCTGTGCTAATTAGGATAATCAAATGTCACACTTCCCCCAGCATTAGTTGATAATCACAAAATTATCTCCTTTTTGCTATCTCAGGGCAGCTTCCCACAGCTTTATGAAGGTTTTTTTGCCTTCTAATCATCCTGCTAAAGTCAGGCAAACCTGCCTGGCTAAGGGTGTCATCTGCTGCTTCAGATCTCCCTTTCCTGGGATGACTCCTACTCTAAAAGAATCTCTCCTCTAGATCAGGTGAAGGAGTTCTGTGCATCAGCAGAACCACAGCCCTGGTGTATTGACTTCATGACCTTAATTCAGCAACCTCTTGGGTTCAGAATCTGCTACTTTGTTGTAGTTACAGACTGGAGCACTGTGCAGCCTGTTTTAGAGCCTGATTGCTTCAGGAAAGTGTCTGCTCACTGCAGACAAAAACTGCAGCCTCACATAATGTGTGTGCATCTAAAGATCATCAGTAAGCTTCAAAGGATATTTTAAAATTTTATATTTCTGTATTTTTAATTTTAGGAATCTTTCAAAGAAATACCAACCCAAGAAGAACTCCAAGGAGGAGGAAGAATACAGGTATGTTCATGATCCCCTTCTGGGTGAGCATGACCTGATGGAGGAATGGAAAAGTTTGGGTCATCACCTAGAATTTACTTTGTAAACCCAAGATTTTAAAGTCAAGTGTAAGAATACAGACGTCACAGATGCAGAAACAGACTTATGTGGTGGATTCTAAGGAGTGGATTTGGCCTGTAACTTCTCAGTTCCCTTATGTTGCAGTTTCTGGATGCCTGTGTTGGGGTTTTTGTTTCATTAGTTTTTTTAATGTGCCTTAAAACCTTCAAGCCAGACTGATTCTGGCTCTTTGAAGTGAATGACCAAATTCATATCTGCTTTCAGCAGGAGCAGACAGTTGTTAATTTTAGCATGAAACCCAAGCACTCTGTGTAAGTATTAAATTACTCAAACAGGCTGACAACACAGATTAGTAACTTACAAAAGGGGTTATGTTCTAACACTGCAGTGGCTCCTGCAGAGCAGAGTGGAGGATGAGGTTTGTAATCCCAGTATCCCCAGGCTTGCTGCTCTTGAAGGATGTGGCACAGCCTCACCTGTCTGCTTTTGATTCACCTGCTCACTCCTGTGTCCCCATGGCAGGGGGTTGATGTTCTGCTTGCAGGCAGCAGCAGAGAGCTCAGCTCCTTCTCTGAGACACCACAGGTCCCTAAGAACACTCCTGCCTTTGGGATGAATAAAGATATTCTTTAAGGAGAACTTTCTAGAAGATGTGCTTCCCAGCAGACTCTAAAGCTAGAACTTTTACCCTTAGAGCACTGTGACCCTGGAGTTTCTCAATGTCTGTGTTTTGTAATGCAGCTCTGAAGGAAGGCATGGCAGGGGCTGACCCTCAGCCTGGTGTTTCAGGAGGCTGCTCAGCCTCTGGAGAGCCCAGCAGCAGCCTCAAACCATTGACTTTAAAATTTGACATGTTTCAAAAGAGCTTGGATATGGGTCCAGCTGGATGATTATATTAATACAGATTTTTGGGTCAGCCCCCCCAGCTGCTCTATACAGCTACTCCAGTGGCTTGTGTAACAGAGATAACAGCCTTTTTGCTTGCTTTTTAATTTATTTTTAGTAACATTGTTTGGGAATCAGTTATTTATGCTATTGTTTCCTGAGATACTGGTATTTACACAAGGAAGATTATGTTACCAGTACAGTGGCTGTTTTGGTCAGTGCCCAGGATTAGGAATAAATCTGCCTTTGGATAGCTCTACCATAAATGGGTATTTTGAGTTTATCACAATGAATTTTGACACATCCTTCATTGCTGAAAAAAGGCTATCAGAGTTAAATGATTCTATGTGATGTGGCACAGAAAATCCTGCGTATCCTTTGCCCTTTATTAATACAGTGTTCACCTCAGTGTAGTTATTTCATGTCTCAAAACAATGTCTGGGGATTTGTCATATGACCTTTGGGTGCCTCAGATGCTGCTTGGAGACAACCTGGCTAAAAATCAGCTTTTTCAAGCTCATTGTCAGCCTCTAGTTCTATGCCTTTTATATTTAGGATTTTTTTGCAACTGGGATTTCTCTCATTTCGCATCTTGACTGTGGATGTTTCTGTTTGTATTGGATTATATTTTTAGTCCCTTTTTTAGTTTCTCTTGTTTTTAATTTCATCTGATGCCTTTTTCATCTCTACTTTTATCACTCCTCTAAATATCTCAATCTTTGCTTTGATTTTTCAGTTTTAGGTAATGTTATCAGTGCAGGCCACTACTCTTTTAGAGTAATAATAACAACAATAATAGTTTTTCTAGTATGTTGTAGTGTCTTGCTGCTGGCTTCCAGCTGCCCAGCACAGCCAGCTGGGCTATTTAAATGAAGCTCTGTTGGCACTGGGCTGAATATACCAGTGACATAATCTGCTGTTTCAAAATTTGTGTGCACAGATGTTTCTTCTTTTCAATAATACATGGAATGCTGTATAGCAGATTATCTGGTATGAAAAATAAACCTTATGATGGAAGATACTAAAAAATATGGGTAGACAATGAACACTTGGTTGGTAAATTCGCTACTTATTTGAAAACTTTATAAACTATATCTGATTTAAATCAAATTTACACTATGAAAAACTTTCTTTTCTAGGCTTTGCTGGCCAAAATTTTGCTTGCTTAGACAGGATTTTGCCAGGTAGGACATACTGATGACCCTGTGCACTGAACTGTAGGACTTGAGAGAGTGTAACTAGAAATGTTTGGTGAATAGAGATTAGAGAACTGAAGCCCCAGAGCTGTGCTGATAAAGAACCTGGCACTCTAAAGTGGTGATATTTTAAGAGCCAGTGTCAAACTGTCTGAATTGAGATAGATTTATCAGAGAACTGTCAGTGTGTGGGATAGGCTTCCTTTGGAGAAATTCCTTCCAGTGAATCTGTGCTAATTCATAGCAATGCTGAGTGCTTAAGCAGGATCCCACCTCCCTTTGCAGTGTCTCTGAAAAGAAAGGGACTAAAGCAAAATGCACTTCTGTCCTTTGCAGGTACACATCAACTAGAGCCTTCCTAGCCACTTTAAATGAAATGAATGACTATGCTGGACAGCACGAGGTCATTTCAGAGAACATGACCTCTCTGATCACTGGAGAGTTAACACGCTACGTGCAGGAGCTGAAACAGGAGAGGAAATCGGTAATCAATCCTTTTTTATTTATTATTCACAATGAATTGCTATCTAAGACAGCTAATTAGTGGTAGTGGAGTTCAATGTTAAGTGAGATTTATTTGTAGTTAATAAAGATGAGCTGTGCTAATGAACCAAGCATTAAAGAAGTGGGTTATGTGGCCTGGCCAAGTCGCTGAACCGTTTGAATCAAATGTTATAAAATCAGACAGCAATGCCTGCAGGAGAATCCCTGCTAAATAAGGTCAGGGATCCATCTGTGCTTAAGGCTCTGTTAGCCAAAAGCTTGCTTAAGGAAGAGTCCAGCAGTGCTGTGTGTAGCTTGAAATAAACAGAGGAACTGCAGTGCTGAGGTTGATTGAGAGAATTATTTGGATTTTGATTCATATTTTTATCCTTTACAGCCAGATCTGGTGAATGGGACTATGTAAAAAAAAGTTATTCTAATAAGAAATAGGGGGGTTTTTCTTGTTTGGTGAAGGTGGGGAATGTGGTTTTCAACCTGTTGTCCTTCAAGACTGATAGAATTAATAGCTTTATGTTAGTGCTCTGTTTCAGCTGGTACTTTAGGGACCTATGTGCCTGCTACAGTGAATGTTCAAAACTGATTAATTTGCACATCACCAGCTCTGAAAAATGGTTAGTTAAGATGTGATTTCCTTCTTCGCCTTGAATCCTTTTATCTCCTGTATGTGTGAGCATAGAAGATGGATTCTAAGCACTACAAATACTCACAGAGCATAAAATGACTAAGCAAAGTGCAAAGGGAACATCATGGCATTACATTTCATTTCCAAACTGTTGGTCTATTTTGGAAAGTGCAAAAATACTCCTGCAGAACTCATACATTTATATATAGTCCCACTAAACACTAAGCATGTGTTGAGGTGCTGTCTGGGATCAGAGCTCTGGAAATCACCACCTTTTCCTAAGTATAGCATTAGAATGATAATTCTGTCAACAGAGGAAAAGAATACATAGACATACCTTGACTCTGCAGAATGGTGTGTAATCTTTCAGGGGCAGCATAAAGGATGTTTTACATATAGCTGTGATGAGAATATTTTCTCAGCCCCTGTGGGACCTTGAATCTAGTGTGGATCTGGGCAAAAAGGAGAAAAAAAGAAAAAACAACATTCTAGTGTGGCATTCTTCTGTCAGCTCTAATGTTTTTACCATTTTTTTCAATTACGTGGGCATATAAATTGATTGGAATATCTATTAGACATTTTAAGTACCATGGAAGAGGGCTTGCAATATTTCTTGTAAAGAATTTGAGCAGTAACTATAGATTTTTTGTTTTGTTTGTAAATTTTCTAGTAAATATGGCTCATAGAAGTAATGGGTGAATGACAGAAAAATTAGTTTAATATTGATCTAGTGATAAGAACATGAGAACAGCAAAAAGAAACAGTGTATTTACCTGCTGTTGCTGATAATTACTGGCCTTTAACAGAAAACAGTTGTCAGTCACATTTGTTTTGTTCTTGCAACATAAATAGAAGCTTATATGAATTAGGAATCCATGTCTGGTTCCTGTAGATTTCTCATTTATGAGAAAACAGTGTTGAAAAGGAAACTGTTCCCGCCCTCAGGCATTTTTCATACCTAGCCTCACTTCATCCTGTAAAAGCATTGATCCTGCTGAGATCTGCAAGAGGGGAGGGTGGTTGTTTTGTAAATATCACAGAGCTGCAGCTTAGGCAAAACCTTTTATTATATCAATTAATGAATGACTTGGTATTTCCAGAAATTTTGTTGCTAGAGTTCTCATTCCTGCTGCTTGTTCAACATCAACTGCTGTGCTTCAGATCCAAAGAATCATTTGGATGAGCCACTCCTGGGGCTGGGTCTGTGTGTAGGAGCTGGGAGACCCACATTCTTGTCCACTGAGTCTTGAATTAAGTCATTCAAGTGTCCAAATACCTGTAAAATGGCACAAATTTCCAATGATTTCAGCATGGCTGTGGTAGATAAGCACCTTTGCTCTTTTGGTTGTACTTTCCCACCTGGAAGATGGAAATGATACACAGAGGTGTCATAACTATAAATGTGTGAAAGATAAACTCAAGTCCAGCAGAAAGTGGTCAGGCAAATCAGAATGGGGTCGGAAGGGACCTTAGATCTCATCTCATTGTTCCCCTGCCATGGGCAGGGATAACTTGACCAGCCTGCACAAAGCCCTGGCCAACCTGGCCCTGGGCACTTCCAGGGATGGGGCAGCTCCAGCATCTCTGGGCAACCTGAGTCAGGGCCTCAACACCTCCACAGGGAAGAATTTTTTCAAATATCTCTAAATCCATATTCTAAAACACTTCTCTAAATACAACCTCTGATGCACAAGAGTGTATGCGGGAGTTGTGGGCAGGGAGTGTGGCTGGTGATCTTTAAACATGTGGGAGCTGGTGCCTGCTCTGTTTTCATGCTCATTTAGCTCTATTGATTCAAGTGGAATTACACCAGCAGATGATCAGGGTCACACAGTAGCAAATCACTTCTTGGGTTTTCCTTGATAAGTGCAAGCCCCTGGCCTGTAAGTGGTGTAGAACTGATACTGTATCATGCCTTGCATTGGTTTTATGCTGGATGAAATTCATTTGACATGCAAATTGTATATATGTTGGGTTTGTTTGGCTCCCTGAAAGGTGTGCTTGATGGCTGCCTATGTCATGTTTTCTCTATAAAAGATAGTTTCTATTGGTGAAAATAAGGAAAGAAGCAACTAATCAAAACCAGGCAGGACAAGTGTGCAGGTTGGACAAGTGGGATGATGTGCAAGGTCAGTGGTTTGGAGCTATTGTTCAAAAGACAGGTACCTCCTTTGTCCTCTGGTCTGATTCAGAGCTTGTGAGATTTCTGCATTACCTTTACATTTTATCAGATCCTGTGCTTTGTTGCATGATGGCTTTTGACCATGTGGTAGTTTGACAAAAAGTGGTTACAAAAAATCAGGCAACAGCTCCTTGTGTGAAACTTGAATACTTTTAGCAACAAAGGTGAATCAATGACTTTATCATATTGCACATTCCTCTTCCATAGGATTACTCTCAGTGTTGTCACTGTACCAAATGAGCTGTTTTGCCCTTAGTCACTGAAGTCAGGTACACGCCCTGCTTGTTTTTCATGCAGTGAGAGAGAGAACTCCTTGTGTTTTCAGTTCTTCCCAGCTGCCCAGTGAAGTGAAACTCTTTATAGTGCAGTTCCTCACTTGAACTTCTTGTATTCTCTTGATCTTACTGTGTCCATGCTCTCCCAGAAGAAATTCTCATCCTCAGGGTCCTTGTTAGCTGCTTAAAAGCTCAAATTTCAGTTCTGTGTAGTGTGAAGGGCATGCCCCATCCATATTCCTCTTGAGGTTATTGAGGTTAGATGCCTGTGACTGAATTCCCCTTTGCTGTTGGAAGATGTCACCAAGTCACACAAATGAGGTGGGAATCTTCTCTGAGTGGTTCAGGACAAGAATTTGCTTCTGCAGTCATGCTTCATGTCACCCAGTGTCATCAAAGCCTTACTTTGGGGGTAGCCCTCGAAGGTGTCAAGTTTGAGCTAGAGGACCTGCAGTATTACAAAATTGGGGTCTTAATCTTGTCCATCTTTGACAAAAGGAAAGGTGGTGGTCCTGTCACATCAAGAGGAATGTTTGGACTTTACTTCACAAGCACTGACATGTAATACCCTTCAAAGTTGGAAATGTCCTGAGCCAACCATGGAAAATTTCTGTTTGTTGGCTTATTTTTTTCCTTAATGTTTCACAGGACATAGCTTGATTTATAGATCCAGCTCTGGCTGAGGAAACCCTTCAATTTTGTAATTTGGATAGAAATTCAAGAATTATTTCCTGGGGCCATTCTGATTTAGATCTCTGGTCACAAACTAGATCTGACTCATGGCCTGCTCTGGCAGAAGCTGTGCTAAAAATGTGTTTGGGAGTCGTGAACTATCCCTCTTATTACAGCTGCTTCTCTCACCTCTACCTCCACCTCCCCTTGGGGCTGGACTGGCTCCATACAATTGAGCATGAAAGTCAAGTAGAAGCCGAGGGCTTTGCTACAGACTGAACTGGTGCAGCACTGGGATTCTGTGGTTGGGAGAGAATTTACCTGGTGTCAATACATTCCATTTTGTGCAGGGATAGATGGGGAACAGGGAATGAATGAATCCTTATGGGTACCATGGGGGCAAAACAGGTCTGGTTCTTTATGGTGGAGCATGTGCACCCTCCTTGTGTGCATTCATCCTGGGGGTGCCTGTCAGAGGACTTTCTGTTTCTTGTTAGCTCTCAGGTGTTGATGAAAAGTAAATAATTGGAGGAATTCTGTCACGTTCACTCATTCTGAATAGTGCACTGTTCTGCAAATAGTCCTGTGGTTTTCGAGAGGATTTCTCCTGGTGTGGAGCAGGCTTGAGGCAGGATGGCAGCACACGGCCCTGTCAGGAGCACAATGGATTTTTCCATGTTGCATTTTGGATGTGCCTCAAGGTCTGTGTGTGTTTGGAGCACAGCTGTGCTCCAGGGGCACAGACAGACACTGCTGCCTTCCAGAAGTGATAAACCAATGGCCAAGTGAGGGGTAGGAGAAGGAAAAGAGTGACAGTGAAAGGAAGTGATCTGCCAAACTTCAAACTGATGCAATGTAAACCAAGCTTTCCCCAGCTCTTGTTTTGTGATTAACCCACTTCCAGCTCACTGCCCTATGAATGGAGTGAAGGTCTTAGTTTTAATCTAAATATGAAGTTATTTATGGGAGATTATGTTGTGCTTGATAAATACACTGCACAACAGTCCTACTCTAAATATATATCCTCTTTCTTGCAAAGTATTTCATCTGTATTTTAAGTTAAATTGTACCAGTAGAATGTTAAGTGATAATTATTTTAAAAAAAAATTAAGAATGCAAATTATTATTTAGGAAAATGCAGAAGATTATTTAGGAAAGAACATAATAAATTCTATGTGTTCTTTTGGAGTGTTTGCTGGTTTTCACCAATTATGGATGGTAAATGCAAT